ACTGATACAATAACCTGTTTTAGCTGAAGCTGTTTTGGTTTTTTGGGTTAGTTTTTTTTTTGAGATCACACATCATCAATAAAGTCTCCTTTAGAACAAAACTGAATTCAAAATTTGTCATATCAGGAGGATGGAGGTCTGCCAGGAAAAACAGGCTAGTGAATAGACTCACATTCCTCAAAACCAGAATTGTAAAGTACGGTCAGAGGAGTGTTTATTCAGCCCATTTTTCCTCTTAGAGGAAATCAAGGGAAAGGCACTGAAGAATCCACAGTTTCTTTAGAAGTGGTCTTAGAGCCTTGTTAATTTGGGAACATTTTAGTGGCACAGCTGACACTGAATAACGTATTTGACAGGGGCTACAATAAAATAACTAAGCATGCTCACACAAGTCTGGAACAAACCCAATTTGTCTGGAAGAATTACGCTTGTTTTTAAAACAGAACTAGCATTGAATAGGGCAGAGACTATGCTCCAGAAATCTGCTCTGATTTACTCTTCAACAAGTAACTGCAAAATTTTTCCAAACATGAATCTGGAGTTAAAAAATACTTACATGCCCTTTCCTTCTTCAAAAGGACACAAGCCAAACATGCTTTAACTTAATTGTGCAAAATGCTCTTTTTAATTCCATTCCATCGCAGCCATCGATGAAAAACGCATCCTTTTCATTCAGTTCAGGGACATTTCCACTGGAGGGCAATTCCCACTCTGCTTTCCCCGCTAGCCCGGCGATTCCCCAGCAGAGGGCGCTGCGCCACCGCTGCATCTCCCATTGCCAGGGCAGCGGGACCGACAGGATCCCATTGCCAGGGCAGCGGGACCGGGGGATCCCAGCGCCAGGGCAGCCACGTCCCGCTGCCCAAACACTGCGCTCATACTGCCATTACTGCAAACACTGGCTGATCTCAACTCTCCCTTTTCTCAATGAGAATGCTTTTATCAGGTACATAAAGATACAAAAAAACCCCATTTAGTAAGAGCTGTGGCAGATCTACACTTCTGTTACTCTTTTAGAGAAGAGCTACTCACTCTATGAAAGACGGCATGCCTTTAGAACTGTGCTACCACATCACTAAGAAAGTTTCATATTTCCAGGATGTCAGCCCATAATTTAAGAAGCCTCAAGCTCTCATCTCCAAAAAAACCCCAAACCCAACAATAATTTGTATGGTAAGTCTTTCTCCTGCCAATCACCTCTGTATGAATAAAAAAAAGCAAAACGTCAACCAAAAATAAAAAAAAGCCTCAAAACCCCAAAACCAAACCTGCAAGTTTTATCTAAATGCTAAAAAAAGAAGTATGTTTTCAGTTCCTAACTGAAAGGAGTATGTTTCAGTTCCTAACTAGTTCAGTTGATGTGCCATTTTCCAGTAGGTATTTCACACGTGAAACAGCACTTTCTCTTCCAGCCTCCTTGATTTGGAAATGGCTTTCTTTCAGAGGAGCTGAATTCCCACCTCAGACTGCCACACGTGTCAACATCAGCGCTGGGTGAAGCTGCACTGAGGATCCCACAGCCTTGGCAGTGCTGCCATCCAATGCACCAGCACAAGGAGTACAAGCATCCACATCACTCTGCAACACTCAGGTAAAATGCTTTCTCCAAGTTCAGTTCCAAATGTTGCATCCCTTCAGTGCCTTGGCTTGCAATCCTGCACTAATGATGCCATGACAAATTATCTCCTCATCCAGCTGATGGATATAAATAGACATTAACAAATTCCGTCTCAAGGGACTTCTACTGGAATGTCACAGTGCTAAACCACAAACCTTGCGTGTATGAACCTGACTGTCCATCTGAGGATTCAGTTCAGTGACACAGCAGCTCTGAAATATCAAAGAGGAAAGGAAGGCCTATGGCCTTCCAAACCATGGAGCTGGAAGGACAGGTTTCCATATATCAGGACAGCTGATGTTTCTGTGGATTTTCCTTTTCTGAGACACCAGTTAGACACAGTATGTTTGCCGGATACAGAAGGCTAATGAAGCACATCAAGATGATGATGGTACAACAGAGGATGAGTAGCAGGATGATGCTCCTTCCCATCCCATCTGTTTTCAGAAACAGTAACAAACAGAGAGGCATTAGGCAGGGCAGAGGGATAAAACTGGTCTCTACATGGTTGTTTATTTATTATTCAAAAGTGACTCCTTGCAAGATCGAAGATCTACTAGCTATCTTTGTTACATCAAGTTACTTCTTCAGATCCTCTCAAAAGTCCACCAACTACTTCTACTGAACTAGTTTTTCTTGTTGGAAAGCAAGTGTTAAAAAAATTCCAACTAAACAAAAAAACCCCACCTGACCAGATTGGGTCAGATTTCTGTTGCTGGTAGTCCACTACAGATTTCTGGTCCAGATTTATATATCTGTGCAAATATGATCATTTTTTATCCAATTTTCCATTTCTCCCATCATCTCAAATTTTATTATATCTTAAAATCAAACTAGAAGTACCCAGTAAGGGTAAGATAATATAAGACAATTAATTACCATCCACCTGTTGGAAATATGGAGAAACATTTCTATTCTTCAGTGATATCATACAACCTGAAATCCATTAAGATCAGGAACAAATACACAGAATATCATGCAGAGTTCTGACTTTCTGCAGTGGTCCATCTGTGAACTCTACAGGTCCATCTCATCTTGTCTCACAGCAGTTCCTGGGGAAAACCAGGTACACATGCAGAATGGAAAGACATTAAGAATATTGAACACCTTTAATAACATGTGGCTCTGAAAAATACCCCAGCTGAAAATACATACTAGAAGAACCACAAATACATGGTATCCCTGTTCCTACTATTCCTTAGGCACCTGCTCACACAAAGATTTAGGTTCACTGAATATTAAGCTTTTTCTCAGGTTTTAACCTTATTCAACAGCAACATCTTATTCAGTTTGTCCATTCTTTAAAACTTTACCAAACTCCTCCATAGTCTTCAGTTCTTTACATGTTGCTTGGGTAGGGTTGGTCAGTCCCTCCCAACTCTGAACACTGGTGATTCCCTGATGGTTCATGATGCTGTCAAGCATCTGGCAGCTAACTCTGTCCTGCACAGCTGGAGAAGTTGAAAGCATCAGGAGTGACACCCCAGCTTCTGCTGAGCTGGACACCACATCACCTTGACTTGCAAACATTCTCCCTTCAATACCTGATTCACAGTTTCTTCAAAGAAAACAGAAGTTATTTGCCATGTGCTGTAGCTATTTGCTGGACAGCATTCTTCTTCCTGCAGGCAGAATCATTCCCAGCAATGCAACCAGAGTTTTTCTAGCTTTTCTGGAAGACTCTCACCTTCCTAAGCAGAAGCAGCATTGCTCTAGTAGATGAGTAAGTGGAGATTGTGAAAGGATGTGCAAAACCAAGTGCACACATGCAGAGGGAAGAAAGATGGTGATCCTGGAGCCTGGACTTGCCTAGATGGACCCATGGTCTGACTCACTTCAGTAACTTTTATAATGTTTCATTTGTAAATGCACACAATACTGTAAATTAAAAGTTTGCACTAGTTCCAACTGCAGCTTTACCAATACCCTCAAGGACTTTGTAAGTAAAAGCTGTTAAAGGCAAAAGGTACTAGTGCTACTCCCACATGGGAGCAGAGACCCACCTGCAGCCTGTGGAGGACCCTGCACCAGAGCAGGTGGATGCCCAAGGAGGCTGCGACCCTGTGGGAAGCCCATGGTGGGCCCATGGTTCTCCTGGCAGGACCTGTGGGGGACCCACATGGAGCAGCCTGTTCCTGCAGGACTGCACCCCATGGAAGGGACCAACACTGGAGCAGTTTGTGAACAACTGTAGCCCTTGAGAAGGACTCATGTTGCTAAAGTTCCTGGAGGACGGTGCCCTGCGGGAGGGACATCCCACACTGGAACAGGGAAGGGCTCCTCTCCCTGAGGAGAAACAACCTGTGATGAAGTGACTGCAGCCCCCATTCCCCATCTCCCCTGACTGAGCAGGAAGGGCTGAGGCAAAGGACTGGGGATGAAGTTAAGCTTAGTAAGGAAGAAGGGGTGGGGGGAAGGAGTTCTAATTCTAATGGTAATAAATTCAACTAAATTTCCTAAGCTGAGTCTGTTTTACCCATGACAGTAACTGGTGAATGATCTCCCCCCACCCTTATCTCAGTCCATGAGATTTTGTTGTATTTTGTCTCCCTTCTCCAACTCAGAAGGGAGTGACAGAGTGGCTCTGGTGGGCACCTGTATCTAGCCTAGATTAACCCTCAACACAAATCCATCTAACCAGCTCCCCAGAATTCAATGGCTTTTTGATGATTAATCAAAAACAGAAGAAAAATAAATCCTACCTCACATTTGGTACCATCACCTTCTCAATGTGACAGAAGATGAATGGCTATGCTGGCAAAGCACAATAAACATGAAGTATAACACAGACACTTAGATGACAAGCAGCAGGTTATAAAACTAAGCTAAAACCTTCACATGAGCATGTGCTACCTCTTCAGTCTCACAAGCTGGTTCACAGTACAGGTTTCTGGCATAAGGGATCTGGTTCAGCTACACAGTAGCTTTACTAAAAACAGAGAGAAAAACCACCAAAACATTATCTCTTTCTTTAAATAGTTCAAGAAACTGCACAGTCTTCTAGGGTAAGTTCACACAAGTGTCCAAACCACTTTGTGTACAATGGAAATGCCTTCTTTGAAGTAATGAGACTTCACATGACTCTGGTGAAGAGCTTTCAAAATCAGCCTCACCATGCTCTGTGCTGAGGCCCTGTGGAAGCAAAAACCAAATCCTTGCAGCCTGGTTTAGCATCTTTAAACACAGAGACATAAATTCTGTCAGGGATCAGGACTCCCAGAGAACACCACACATTTCAAGAGTTCTTGAAGGAAAAGAGGGAAAGCAAGCTCTTGCAGGGAAAATGACTAATATTGAAAGAGTCCCATTTTCTCTTCTTTAACATACTACAATTTTGCTCATTTGGCAGCAGTTTTCAAGCAGGTTAAGTTTCAATTCTTACCTACAGCCAGTGCTGCACTCTGTTCTTGGCCTCCAGTCTGTTTTAAAAAGAAAAAAGAGATTATGGAAATTAATTCTTTTACACCAAAAGTCTTAAATGCAATGCAGTGTGATCTTGGAAAAGCAAACACACATCTGTTCCAGACATACTGTTCTTATGTATCTACTTCATAAACACAGTCCTGGATCCATACACCACCAGGACTTTTAAAAAATATGCTAAGAAAAAGTAATTCAGAACTGTGTTTTATCTCTAGGCATACAAATAAATAGGGAATGCCATTATTTGGCAATGAATGTGCTTCCAGGGAAAAATGCTGCCACATTAGACAATGCATAAACACATATATTCCAGAATAAATTTAATAACTTAACAGTCAAAGCTGCAATAAAATACCAGTGGCAAACTGTTCTGCTTGCATTTCACATTGCTTTAACAAGAAAATCACACAAGATTCTAATCCAACCACACAAATGTGCACTTGAAAAAATTCAAGGCTTGCATGCTGACCTCCCGAGAAGGCATTTTCAAGTCACTGAAAACCATTTGCTTAACAAAGAAAACTAGTGTTCTTGGACCGCCTCAGTGTGCTGCACACATCATTACCACCGTCATAACATGGTGAAATAATTATGTTAACAGTATAGTTTAAAGGAGAAGGTTTGGAGTATTACAGTAACTGCAAGTTTCACAGGAAATAAAAGTGTAACATTAGCTAGGGAAGGCTCTGAAGATACACAGCAGCACAGGCAAGGAGCAGAGTGGAGACTTTAGTGAGAATGACTCTTCACAGCCCAGAGAACTGAACATAAGCAAAATCACGACCATCAGATAGTTACAACTGTAGAAATTTAACTCTCCATCCTTTTAGCGCACACTTCTCTCTCAAAGAAGTTTTCCCCTTGACCAGCCTTAAGTTTGGGTAGCAGCTGCTTTTGCCCTTTTCCTATTGACTTCAGCTTCCCCTTATTCTCTCAGAAATAAGCAACAGCCAGCACTTCAGGACAACAACATGGTTAACAGCACTGTCCTTGTAGGAGCTACTGCAATTCCCTAAAATGCACCCACTCTCATTGGGAATATTTTAAATATGGGGGTTTTTCACCCTTCTCTTGACTTCAGATTGCTCAATTTGTGCTTTGAGATAGCACAACAAAAATAAAACTCTGGAAATTGCTAGTCCCCTGCAGGTCAGGGCTGAACACAACTGGCATTGCAAAGTGAAACTGAAACCAAAGTGCGACCCAACACTACTCTAAGAAGTTAATTTCCTGAAAAAGAGTGAAAGAGAAGTCAGATAGGACTGAGCTTTAAACAAAAGCAAGAAGCCTAAATTCATTAGAATGAGCAGACTCTAGAAATAAATTTGAAAATGAAAGGAAACCACTGTAGCAGCTAGCTTAGGGACTTTCAAAAAAAAAAGTGTCCTTTAATGGTACTGGTTCATTTCTACAGAAATACACCTATTTCCAACTGATAGAATTATTAGGGAAAAAATGAGGTCAGGTCTTCCCATCTTTCTGGACACAGTGCTGCACACATAGAGACATAAGCACTTACCACCTGCAAGAACAACGTGCTGATGCTCAGGTGGCTGGTCCTGAAGGCTTCAATGAATGAGTGGAAGTTAATAATTAACAAAGCCTTCTAGGACTCCTGCGATAATGAAGGCAGGAGGAGAACAGCAAAGCCATTAGGCAAAGGGGAAGTAGCCAGGAAAGCTGAGAATTATAGGTCAGTTGGACTATCATCAGTAACAGGCAGAGATGTTAGCACAGGAATCCATTAACTGGTTTCCTATCCTTTAGTAGCTATGAAAAGCCTTTGAGCAAAACAGCTCACACTGAGCACTGCTGATGCTTGGTTTATCCTGGCAAGCTGACAGGTATTTGATTTTTTTACATAGTGTGACTTCACATCACAGTATTTTAAATTTAGAGGTTGGCACTGAGCAATATAATAAAGCACTGCCTAAATGGATAAGAAATTGACTTGCTGATCTCTAGTCAGGGAGGAACACCAGCAAAGATGCATTAAAAATAGACAGATGTGAAATGATTGGTGAACTGGATTCTTTTCAGAATTCATTTTTGCACTTTGGATACACCTTGATTTAGACTAAAGAGTTTCTAAATGAAGAACTCTTTCTGGTTCAACATGCACTATTTGGGTTTTCATGCTGGGATAGAGGATTTGCAAAACCTCTGAGCTTCCTTCTGACTTATCCTCAAGGTTTAGATCTGCAGATTATTATAGAAATACCACAAACAGGCACAAGATGAGACATGCAAACTACACAACTTAATAGGCAGTGAAAATTGAATAATTCAGACCCAGCATTTTTCAATTCCTTGTGATTCTGAGGTAGTCAAATATTTAACGCTACATTACAGAGAAAAAAAGTTCTGGGCAGGAAAATTAACTTTACTCAATGGGTTACAGCTCATGGAGTCAAACAGCAGAGAGATTAATGCATCCCATCCCAGGGATCTCATTTAGCCACACAACCCCTTCCCTTGAACTGCAGCCTAACTTCACCACAGCAGAAAGAGGCCAAAGCATGTGCCAATATCTCAGGCCAACTACAACAGAAATTCAAAGAATTGTCACAGCAGATGAAGAACCAAAATGGAAAACTGTTGAGAGCCATCAGAGAGGGACAGTGAACCAGCTACATGTAGCATAACAGAAACAAAACCAAGCATCATTCGATTTGTCAGAGCACAAGCCTGCAGCTGACAAGTCAAATGGTACCCAGATAAAAAAGATGCAGTAAGTAAACTTGGCATCATTGTGAATGATGAAACTGGAGGAAAAAACCTCAATGAAAATTGGCTAACCACTGAGTAAGCCCTGTGCTTTGGGCATCCACCTCATATTGAACTGATGCTGCTTAACTCAGCAATACGTGGAAACAGATTTCACATGAGAACAGCAAACCATGAACTTCCAGTGTGAAACCACTGTCCTCTGCCCAGCTCTGGCTGAACTAATAAAGGAGCCTCAACTCAGGCACAGACTTGTCAGTGACTGTCACTCATAAATTGCTACAGAATGATGATTTTTTCAGGCTTTCCAACACTCACATTCTGAAAAACACTGAGTGGTAAGATAGAATCATCAACAACTTTGCAAGAATCTAAATTACTTTGCCTACTCAACTGGTATCTCAGATCATATGGGAACTTCAGAAAGGATGAACTTCACAAAGCTTACAGCACTTACTAGCAAAAGCTTGCATGGGATTAATGTACCTCTGTGCAATACTGGGCACCCAGACTAAAGCTGTTCTCAAAACAAGCAGACTGCTACTCTGACAGAGCAAATGTTTCAATTCCTGGTTTGCAGATCAAGCCTGCACTGGGACTCCTCTGGGAAAGCATCACCACCTTGAAATCCATGTGAACCAGTTGTGGACCATGGCACAGATGTTCTCAGTTCATTCATGCTAACAGCTCCTGGATACAGAAAAGGACAGGATCTAGCTCAAAGTCTACCTGCCCTGGCAATTTTTAGGTGTTCCTGCTCTCTTGGTTCAGTTTCAGACTTAAAATAAAGTTTGTGGAAACAGCTCTAAAAAACTTGTTACCCTTAGAAGCACCCACTAAAACATAAAAACCAAGCCCAGTCCAAAACAGAGCCACAAGTCAAATACATCCCACATCTTGTGAGTAATAAAAAGAGAAAACTCAGAAATGTTTAGTAATAAAATTTGATTTTTACTTCAGTAACAGTAACAGATGTCTAAGCTATAAAGAATAATTCATTGCTAGGATCATATTTCAAAGGGGGTTTCAGGGCATCTGCAGATGAATCCATGGCTCAAAGCTAAATGGATGAACTCTGGTGTTTAACACCAGTGACTGTAGACAAAGATCCTTCTATATCTGTATGGCAATTGTATATATATGAGACTAAGATTAGCCAGGCAGGCTACCACTACTGCAAAGTGACCTCAGTTCTTCACAAAGAGCAAATGTACTGGTTGCTTGCTATAAAACCACTTTTTTGACTTCTGATTGTAAAGCTCCAGCTCAAATCTTTCTTCTCCATTCATTTTCATTTATCTTGGTGAGGCAAAATTGCTTCTTAGAAGTTCACATGTTATATTAAATCTTTCCCTATCCTGTGTAATTTCTCAATGCTGCTGCCACAGTACCTAACATTACCTGCTACACTCAAACTCATATTTTAAATTTGTAATTTAATGACAGAAATGGACTGTGAATGCAACAGAGGGTCTACTGTTCCACTATAATTTTTCAAGCTTATTTCATTTTCCCTAATTATTCTATTTTCACAGGATACATTATCACCAAGCTGTTACTGTTGCATAGCAGCTTCACTTCATATGGTATAAATTTCAAGGTTGGGGTTTTTTAAACACCTTTTGTAGTTAATGCATCACATTATATTGTTGTGGACTTGGCAGTGGAGGGTGATGGTTGGACCTGACCTTGCATGCCTTTTCCAACATAAAAAATTCCTTGAAAGCTTTCAGAAAAGTTTACATGCTGCACTGTAGACCAATAGGTGGGACACAAGGTTTTATACATATACGCCTTCCAACAACTTCAGAAAAGAAATAAGAAAAAAGGGAAAACGAAAAGATATTTCAGAAGCTTGTATGGCAGAAGAGAATATTCACACAAAACTAGTATTCAGCATGAAAATTTATATTTTCATCCACTTAGACATAATGGTTTATTTCTGGAACAAAAGTGGAAACAGTAAAATAAACTATCATAATCTTCATTTATGCATCTCAAAGCTCTACACAGAAAAAAACCCTGCAAGTTGAACATCAAGTACAAGGGATTTTTTAAACCAGATCAAAAAGTTAAATATTGCCAAATAAACTTTTTCACTTATAGAAATAAGCTGAGAAAAAAAAGGTTGGGTAACCAGAAGACAAGTAAGGAATTTCAGTAATGCAGAGATGGGATTTCTTTAGCTGTTTAATTTAGAGTTGTGTTTTAGTTTGTGTTTGGTTGCTTTTTTGGTAGTGGAGTAGGGGGCAGAGCTGTGGTACTTGGG